AGAACCAGAAGTTACATTTGCTGTGCAGGATGTTACAAATCCATGTGTTTAAATATTTTCACATTTTCATTTCATCTTTGTATCTGACTGCTGCTGGCAATCAAAAATGACTCAGTTTTATGCCATCTGTGTTTATGTGCCACGCTGTTGAAGTACAGAATGACGAGTTTTATTTTTGATCACTGAGTGTGACTGTTCTCCCTGTCCAGTGCATACCCTTGTTTGTGGAAGCTGCCTTGGAGAGACTGACCAGAGAAGTGAAAACCAGTGAACTGCGAACCATGTGCCTCCAGGTTGCCATAGCTGCTTTGTATTACAATCCTCATTTACTATTAAACACGTTGGAAAATCTTCGTTTCCCCAATAATGTGGAGCCTGTCACCAATCACTTCATAACTCAGTGGCTTAATGATGTGGACTGTTTCCTGGGGTAAGTGTTTGTACTTCTGGAGATGATTCTCTGTGATACACCTGTGTACGACCTGCTTGTAAATCATGACAGAACTTGCAACTGTTCTACTCTTCTGTTTTGTAGACTCCATGACAGAAAAATGTGTGTGCTTGGCCTGTGTGCTCTTATTGATCTGGAGCAAATACCACAGGTTTTAAATCAAGTTGCTGGGCAGATCCTGCCAGCTTTTATCCTTTTATTTAATGGATTGAAAAGAGCATATGCCTGTCATGCAGAGCATGAAAATGACAGTGATGATGATGATGAAGCTGAAGAAGATGAGGAAACAGGTATGTAGACAGAACCTTTGATGTAATTTTGTATGTTTCATTTTTTAATGATGGAGATACTGAGTTCCTTTGTGGAATTCTTCTGAGTATCCTAATTCCAAAAATGAAGCACTGCAGTAGAACAATGAACATCTTTTGACAACTTTTAAGTATATCTGACATACTTTCCACTCTCTTAAAAACTGACTTCCAGGGCTGAGTTAAAAGAGCTTCCCCCTTTCCAGCCTGCACGGTATTGTTGCCACTTCCACTGCCTGTTTTATCTAATTAGCCACATTTCTAAAGAATTGTTCTTGACGTTTTCAAGATAAACTTTTGTTTGTTTATAATTAACTCAGAGGAGCTGGGAAGTGATGAAGATGACATTGATGAAGATGGTCAAGAATATCTTGAAATTCTAGCAAAACAGGCAGGTGAAGATGGAGATGATGAAGACTGGGAAGAAGATGATGCTGAAGAGACTGCTTTGGAAGGTTATTCCACAATTATTGATGATGAAGATAACCCTATTGATGAATATCAAATATTTAAAACAATTTTTCAGAGTAAGTAACTGTATTTCTTTTCCTGGCCAACAAGTTACATTTCAGCTTTAGTGTACACTGTTGTTAACTAGAACTTGTTCAAAACTTCCAAACAAGCTTTCCAATATGTGTTTGAACCATTTCTGTCTTTGAAAAGGAGATGCTATTGTTAAACTTCAATAGCAGAGGAAGTTGCTTGAATGAATTTATAGTGGTAGGCAAGAAGTCTGAAGGCTATACTAGTGTTTAAATGTCTTGAATTATGTAACCATAAACCAGAATATTACTCTGATTAAAATGGCAGTGAGTGAGTAAGGTTTGAGTTCTAGAACATTTTAATCAACACTTTCCTTTTGCTTATGTTTTCTTCCTGCTGCAGCAATTCAGAACCGTAACCCTGCGTGGTACCAGGCTTTGACCCAGGGCCTTAACGAGGAGCAGAGGAAGCAGCTGCAGGACATAGCGACCCTGGCGGATCAGCGGCGGGCAGCACACGGTACTTGCACCCTTTATGCCAGTCGTGCCTCCTTGCTCTGTCAGTGCCCTGCCTGTGCTCAAGAAGCACAGTACAGAAAAGGCCTGCAATTCAAGCCTGAGAATGGCTCCATCAAAACAGGGTTGTTAGAGATCTCTTAGAACTGCCAGCCTCCAGGCACAAACTGGGTGGCAATACCGCAGGTGAGAGGAATGCTAGAAACACTTGGGGAGGTAGGCAAGGAAATAAAAGCATATTTGTCCTAATTTCTTAGATTTGAAAACAATTTATTTCATTACCTGAAGGTAGTTGAACTCCAGGTATGTTAACACATCAAGTGGCTGATCAATGATTTCCTGAGATGTCACGTAGTCCAGCGGGGATAGACAAGGATTCTGTGGGTAGGAGAATGCTTAAATTATGGAAGAAGTACCATCTGTAAAGCCACATCATTAAGCCTATTAAATATTACATATTGTACAGATTTTAAAATCTGTGTTCAGTTTTCCCTTTTGAGAATAAGCCAATATATATAACACTCTTAAGTCAAGACTGGATGTTGAGGGATCAGTCCAGTCTCATATCCCGTGTCCATACCAGATTTTCAAAGCAAAGCAGTGTTTAGAGAGTACTCTTTGAGGGGATACACCACCAGTAATGGCTGTGTTTCAGGTCCTTACAGGAGTTGCTGGAGAAGATGCAGAATGTCATGCAGCAAAGCTGTTAGAAGTAATTATTCTTCAGTGTAAAGGGCGTGGCATTGATCAGGTTGGTAATGATTTTGGTTGCTTCAACTAATACTTTAAAAATAGTTATTGTGTAGTATGAATTGATTATGTATTGAGATTTGTTATGAGCACTTCATGTGGTGCAGCTGATAATCCTGTCAGTGTTACTCATTGACAGCACTGCACATTTTGGTCCCAGAAGTTAGGACACTGCAAAACTGGTGTTTTTCTGAGTCTAGAAGAGTGCCACCTCAGGACCATCTTGGTTCTAAAAAGTCAATTAATTGCATTCTAAGTTAATTCTAGTGAATATTTAATGAAAATTATTCTGTCAACCTCATAGCTTTGAAATAATGAAGAATGAAAATGAAGTTCCTAGAATCCAAATCAATGTAATAGAGGGATCAGGGACTTCATTATGTACATATGGCAGTTGGAATTTGAGAGATGAATAAGTTGATTTTTCTGGACTTTCTAGTGTATACATTTTCTCTATTTTCCATTTTTAATACACAGGATTACAGAACCAGAAGTTACATTTGCTGTGCAGGATGTTACAAATCCATGTGTTTAAATATTTTCACATTTTCATTTCATCTTTGTATCTGACTGCTGCTGGCAATCAAAAATGACTCAGTTTTATGCCATCTGTGTTTATGTGCCACGCTGTTGAAGTACAGAATGACGAGTTTTATTTTTGATCACTGAGTGTGACTGTTCTCCCTGTCCAGTGCATACCCTTGTTTGTGGAAGCTGCCTTGGAGAGACTGACCAGAGAAGTGAAAACCAGTGAACTGCGAACCATGTGCCTCCAGGTTGCCATAGCTGCTTTGTATTACAATCCTCATTTACTATTAAACACGTTGGAAAATCTTCGTTTCCCCAATAATGTGGAGCCTGTCACCAATCACTTCATAACTCAGTGGCTTAATGATGTGGACTGTTTCCTGGGGTAAGTGTTTGTACTTCTGGAGATGATTCTCTGTGATACACCTGTGTACGACCTGCTTGTAAATCATGACAGAACTTGCAACTGTTCTACTCTTCTGTTTTGTAGACTCCATGACAGAAAAATGTGTGTGCTTGGCCTGTGTGCTCTTATTGATCTGGAGCAAATACCACAGGTTTTAAATCAAGTTGCTGGGCAGATCCTGCCAGCTTTTATCCTTTTATTTAATGGATTGAAAAGAGCATATGCCTGTCATGCAGAGCATGAAAATGACAGTGATGATGATGATGAAGCTGAAGAAGATGAGGAAACAGGTATGTAGACAGAACCTTTGATGTAATTTTGTATGTTTCATTTTTTAATGATGGAGATACTGAGTTCCTTTGTGGAATTCTTCTGAGTATCCTAATTCCAAAAATGAAGCACTGCAGTAGAACAATGAACATCTTTTGACAACTTTTAAGTATATCTGACATACTTTCCACTCTCTTAAAAACTGACTTCCAGGGCTGAGTTAAAAGAGCTTCCCCCTTTCCAGCCTGCACGGTATTGTTGCCACTTCCACTGCCTGTTTTATCTAATTAGCCACATTTCTAAAGAATTGTTCTTGACGTTTTCAAGATAAACTTTTGTTTGTTTATAATTAACTCAGAGGAGCTGGGAAGTGATGAAGATGACATTGATGAAGATGGTCAAGAATATCTTGAAATTCTAGCAAAACAGGCAGGTGAAGATGGAGATGATGAAGACTGGGAAGAAGATGATGCTGAAGAGACTGCTTTGGAAGGTTATTCCACAATTATTGATGATGAAGATAACCCTATTGATGAATATCAAATATTTAAAACAATTTTTCAGAGTAAGTAACTGTATTTCTTTTCCTGGCCAACAAGTTACATTTCAGCTTTAGTGTACACTGTTGTTAACTAGAACTTGTTCAAAACTTCCAAACAAGCTTTCCAATATGTGTTTGAACCATTTCTGTCTTTGAAAAGGAGATGCTATTGTTAAACTTCAATAGCAGAGGAAGTTGCTTGAATGAATTTATAGTGGTAGGCAAGAAGTCTGAAGGCTATACTAGTGTTTAAATGTCTTGAATTATGTAACCATAAACCAGAATATTACTCTGATTAAAATGGCAGTGAGTGAGTAAGGTTTGAGTTCTAGAACATTTTAATCAACACTTTCCTTTTGCTTATGTTTTCTTCCTGCTGCAGCAATTCAGAACCGTAACCCTGCGTGGTACCAGGCTTTGACCCAGGGCCTTAACGAGGAGCAGAGGAAGCAGCTGCAGGACATAGCGACCCTGGCGGATCAGCGGCGGGCAGCACACGGTACTTGCACCCTTTATGCCAGTCGTGCCTCCTTGCTCTGTCAGTGCCCTGCCTGTGCTCAAGAAGCACAGTACAGAAAAGGCCTGCAATTCAAGCCTGAGAATGGCTCCATCAAAACAGGGTTGTTAGAGATCTCTTAGAACTGCCAGCCTCCAGGCACAAACTGGGTGGCAATACCGCAGGTGAGAGGAATGCTAGAAACACTTGGGGAGGTAGGCAAGGAAATAAAAGCATATTTGTCCTAATTTCTTAGATTTGAAAACAATTTATTTCATTACCTGAAGGTAGTTGAACTCCAGGTATGTTAACACATCAAGTGGCTGATCAATGATTTCCTGAGATGTCACGTAGTCCAGCGGGGATAGACAAGGATTCTGTGGGTAGGAGAATGCTTAAATTATGGAAGAAGTACCATCTGTAAAGCCACATCATTAAGCCTATTAAATATTACATATTGTACAGATTTTAAAATCTGTGTTCAGTTTTCCCTTTTGAGAATAAGCCAATATATATAACACTCTTAAGTCAAGACTGGATGTTGAGGGATCAGTCCAGTCTCATATCCCGTGTCTTAGTGAGCAATTGCTACAGATGTTTCAAACCAGAATTCATAAATTTTTCAGTAAAAATATTGGTAGTAAGAATACACATTTAGTAAGTGCTTTTAAAGAGAGAACAGCCTAAATCACCTCACAAAGCTTGTTTGGGTCCAGAATGGTCCCGTTTTAATGATTACCAAATACAGTTTCACTGTGACCCCTGTCAAGCAGTAGACATTTTTTGATGTAATTTTATACTACTGCATTTTATGGAGACAGAAAAGTTTGAGGTGTGTGTTTGTTTGTTTGGGTTTTTTTGTGCTGTTTTTTCAGAGAAATTGTGAAGTTTAACTTAAGCAACCAGATCCCTGTGGGAAATTCTTGCCTGCTATCACAGCACATTGATACTACTTTTAGGCTGCTTACCACACATGGGGATATCCTGTTAGAAGGATGTGAAATGCAGTTCTCCCTTATTAATGTAGCTTAGAAGAATTTCCACATGCTGAGAGATGTGTCTTCTGTGGAGCTGTGTGGGATTCTCCCTCCATGCTCCACTAGCCATGGCAACATCTTTGTGGCCTGTTTCCAAAGAACCAGAGCCAAAATGCAGATTTGCCAGATAATATGAGCTGACCTGTATTCCCAGGGAGATTGCAACTGTGCTGATTTAGGAGAACTAAGACCAACATAAGACATTAATAAGTGTTATCTTGGCCTGGGAATAATACAAGCCACCTTGTGCATTATCCAGATTGTAGTAAAGGTACAGCCTTTACCTAAATTACCAACCTGATCTTCAGTTGTCCATGTATTAGAGCTGTTCAGACTGGTTTACAGTAATCCCTGTCCTTACAGCAGTGTTTGAAGGATGGTGAAACCAGACACCTTAACAATCACTGGCAGTTACAGTGATGGATAAAGTCCAAATTACCTGCTTGGGTAGCAGCATGTGTAAAAAGGCTTTTTCTGGTGCTTCAGTGGTGGTTTCTGCTTATATTGTTGAATTGAGATAGGAACACCAAAAATTTAGCCAATATCTGTGTACTACTTTTTTGCACATGGGCTCTGTTACTGATTAGACTGCAAAGAATTGTGTGCTTGTTACTAAGTTTATAAGTGCAGTATTCATTCTGGTCCTGTTTCTAAAGTACAGTCATGTCCAAAAGCTAAAGTGTGGGCTTTTTGAAGTACAAATTGATGAATTTGAGAAGTTAAAATAAGTAAATAGTCCATCTGTTCTGTGGGGCCTGACAGATTTCCACTTGTGGGTGCTGATTCCTTGGTTGGGTAACCCCAGGTTAAACCTGTATCTCCGAGAGACTCAAAGTGGTCTGTCTTCCCCCCTACACACACACTAAAACTTCTTCCTTCTGTTTTTTTGTTTTGTTTTAGAATCCAAAATGATTGAAAAGCATGGAGGATACAAATTCAATGCTCCAGTTGTGCCAACTTCATTTAATTTTGGAGGCCCTGCCCCAGGAATGAATTGAATTATCACTTTTCCTGCTACTGTGTGATTGTAGTGAAGAGCTTGTGTTCCTCCCAATAGTGGTTCCAGAACTGGTTCATGTTATCTACAACTCACTCTAAACTAATTTATAAATAGATTGGACAAAAGCCCCAGAAGTGGGACCTGATTATTCAACCTGATACTGGAAAGCAAACCAGAGGTTTTTTTGAAGATAGGAAGAATCTGAATTTAAAGCTTCAAATGACACGCTTTGGAGATCGGAAATCAAGAGGGGATGTCATGAAGGCAGCTTTTCTTTTTCTGAGGAAAAAAAAACTAGACATGGGCTGCAGGACTATTTAAAATGTCTCATTTACAGTACAAGCTAGAAGGCAGACTTAATTTTTACACCTGTGGCAGTATGAGTATTTGCCCAGTTTCTTTCCCTTTTATCCCTACTACTGGGTGTCTATTCTTTTAATGTAAATAAGATAAGGTAATCAGATAGCCTTACTTAATCTTCATCATTTCCATTTATCAAGATTGTTCATATGTAGAATATTGGACACTTAATGTAGCACTACATAACTGATAAATCTGTAAATGAATTAGCACTTTCATATTGAAACAAGCCTGCTAGCCTATGTACAAAAATAGCAAAATGTTTGCTGTTTATAAAAATAAAAAATAAGGGATGTATTGGGGAAAATAATTTCAAGTTATTAATTTAAAATGAACTAGCAGTTTTGTACCTGGTGACTTTGTGGTGCAGTCACCTCTGGTTGTGACTTGAATTCGGATATGTAAAAAGGGGTTAGTGATATTTCATTGCTGCTAAAGAAGAAATAGCAACACCCTCCGTGTCCTTTGTTTTTTTTAAAGATCTCACTGTACAAGCTAGAAAATTGAACAAAAATGTACTGTAAGCACAAAGAAAAGTTATCCTCTCTAAGGCAGGTAAATGAGATGTGAAGTTCTTAAGGTCAGTTGGAGTGTATGGGTGAAACACCTACATATGCAATCTATTAAAAACAGCAGTGTCATTGGCTGATCTGGGCTATGGTATTTAAATGCAATTTCCCCCCCAGTTGTGCAGAATATTCTTTTTCCAGCTCATGGTAGTGCAGGTGCACTACTCCTGCATTTCATTCCCCCTCTTTTTGCACTTGCAGCATTAGTGTGTGCTGTTGTCTGCCTGATCCAGACAGTGTATTTGAAGTTTTGCCAATCTTTCAGTTTGAAGCCACAATTTTCTTCCTTCAAAGTTGCTATAGTAACTAGTATTTTAGCTAGAGAGGCAAAATACAGTTCCCTCTGGGACCACTATCAAAACCACTGTATGAAGAAGCCAGCAGGGAGAGGCTGTGAATGGGTTGGCTTAAATGCCCCCTTTTTCTTTTCTAAAAGCAAATCCATTGGCGTTTGATCTTGCCTTGAGATCATTGGTGTCAGGTCTTTTAAATCAAATGTTTGGGTTGTTTTTTTTTTTTTTTTCTTTAGGCTGTTTTTTATATAAAAATGTCACCTGCTGTTACAATTGATATTAAACAAGCTACCTTAATTTAATGTAAGCCTCCAAAATTTAAATACAGGTTAAAAATAAACTGAGTTTTTATCTGTAAAAATGAAATGCACATATATATATATTATGATACTCGAAATGCAGTCTTCAGAAAATTGGTCTGTGTGGTGTGGTTTTTTGCATCAGCAGAGTAGCAGGATTTGGTGGTGCTTTGGGGTTTCCTTGCTGAGCTGCCCAGCCCCACGCTCTGCCTTCCCAGGCTGCAGGAGGGTGTTCCAGCCTCCCCACTGCAGCTGCCTGGCTCTGGCAAACACTTCCCTGCACACGGGGGGGCCAAGGTGGGACACGGAGCCCTGGCCCACTACCAAAGGGACACTTGGAAAGCAAAGCACCTGAGGTGGAAAAAAAGCCAGCCTTGGATGGGAACATCCATCCTCGTGGTGGTGTGAGAGCCGGGGTAGTGCCTGTGCATCTTTAGGGGATGCCCAGAGCAGAGCTCACTGGGGGTTTGTGACTGTAACTCACGGGCACTTCCAGGCTGCTCCGGCCCCCAGGCACTCTAGACAGGGTTTTATTTTTGTAGAAAAAGCTGACAGATGTGCTTCCAGCATGCCTTCTCCTTGCAGTGCTTGGGAACACCCAGTTTGACAAATCATTTCTGAACATCTGCTGGCTGGGTATCTGCGTCCCTTCATATGCATCCTAAAAATGCATGAGAAGCTTTGAGGACAGATGAGCCATTTTGGACAGATGATGAGCTCTTGGACAGATAAGCCTTCTGCCTCGTGGCAGAAGATGTGACAGCAGCAGTGAGAAGGCTTCATGTGTAAAGCAGATGACAAAAAAATAGGGGGAAATCACCAATTTTAGTGCTGTTGTCAGTTCTGGAACAATTATATTTTTCAAGTCGCAAGTCAAGGGAAGAATTTTATCTTGGTGTGAGGAATAGTCTTACTTCAAGGGTGCTTTTATGTGTCACTAGACTGGTTAGCAAAAGGAGCATCTTTTTAAGATGGATCTAGAACTTTGCTTTCCTTTGCTCCACGAAATGTATTTATATAAATTGCAAAACAATTTTGCATTGTTGTTGGTGGTGATAGCGCATTTTGTGATGCAATATATCAATTTCAGTGATACACTTATGTCAGATTAAAAACTGATCTTCCTCCTAGAACTTGCACTTATCCATTCCATTTTCAAGGATAAAGCAACTCTAAGGGAAGAGCTGGGAAATTTAAAGCCTCTGTTTTTTTCTATTATGGAAGATCTCCTTGGATTAATAAACATCTAAAGCAAATCCTTATCTTCACTTATTTCAGTGTGGTGTTTTGAATGTAGCTGTATCCTTACAGTAGAGTCCTGCTCGAGTTGCACAGCTCTCAGGTTTGTATTTCCCTCTCCAAAATATTCCTCCAAACAAACGTTAGGCACAACCAGAATTCTCTTCAACTGCATTAAATATTAAAAAATAGGTTCTTTTTTTTTTTTTTTAATGCTAACATACTGGGTTAATATTTTCTTCCCTTAATCACTGTCTTGAAAGAATTATTAGTATGTATCAGCATAGTACCACAAAGCTCTGTTCCAATCTCCTGTAGCCTAGGACTGTCACTGCAACATTTGTCAAGTCTGCAGTGGAATAAATACTGACTGCCTGCCAATAAACTTGCAGGTGATTTTGGCTACTAAGGGATACCTGCTAAGTTTTAAGGGTTGATTATTTTCTCTGTGGAACCTTCTACATAGCCAGAATGAGCCAAGTGAAAAAGCTTTGTTGCTGATTATTAGTTACTTTTCAATCAATATGTAGCTTTATCTTAAATGGCACGTGACTGATTTTGTGTATTTCTGCTTTTTTTGCAAACTATTGGTGGAAACATAAAGCACATCAGAACGGGAAACTGATTGTAGTATTTTGCAGAGATTATAATAATCTGTTAAGGAAAGGGGAGTTGGCAAATCAGAAACAGGATTTTATCTTGGTTATTTCACTGCTGCTGTAACTTGAAACAAACTCATGCCTACAGCTTGTATTTGGCTTAAAATTTACAATTAGGAAACTAAATTAAGAAAGAAAAACTGTTGGCTATTAGGCCTGTTTGGGAATAAGGTTTTGGGTTTTTTTTGTTTTGTACAACTACAGTAATTTTGGACTGAAAGAATTTTGAACTATTGTTCTGGAGAAAAACGTAAATGTTTTCACATGTCTCATGATCAGAAAGATGCATTAAGTCCATCAGAGCAGGGCTTACCGTCCCATCAATGGGAAGAATTCGCATCAACTGCACAACAAGGTTTTCTGAGAAATCACCTACGGAATTAACACGCTTGGCTTGCCTTACACTGGGAGCTCTTGGGCTATTTATTACATGTTTCCATACCTAAAAATCTGGTAAGGACAACACTCCCAAGCACAGCCTTAAGCAGAGCGTCCTTCTCCCCCAGAGCCGGGCTGGCATGGCAGCGGAGATAATGCGGCAGGAGGCCGGGAAGGGAAGGGCAGAGCGCCCACAGTCCCGGGCCCGGCCGTGCGGCCCCGCGGGGCCCGCGCAGGGCCCAAGGGAGCGCGGATGGCCCCGGCCGAGGCGGATCCGCTCCCGGGGGCCCGGGGGCGCTGCCCTTCCCCTCACCGTGCCCGTCCCGTCCCCGCCGCCTCAGGCGCTGCCGGCGCGCGCCGGGGGAGGGCAGGAAATGGCGCCGCTCCCCGCTGGCGCGCGGGCGCCTCGCTGCCCGCTGCACAAAATGGCGGCGGCCCCGCGCCCGGCACAGCCGCGACGCCATGAAGCCGCGGGGCGGGGCCGCGGGCGCG